AGTCAGGGTATGGCTAACTCACAGATCCAACCCTGAAACAACCTCTGGGCTGATCTAAGTCAGGGTATGGCTAACTCACAGATCCAACCCTGAAAGAACCTCTGGGCTGATCTAAGTCAGGGCGCGGTTAGCTCAAAGATTGAACCCTGAAACAACCTCTGGCCGATCAAAGTCTAGGCATGGCTAACTTACAAATCAAACTCTGAAAGAGCTTCTGAGCTGATCTAAGTAAGGGCATGGCTACTATGGTTCGAATTGTAATTTAGCGGAGAATTCGAAAGAAAAACTAGAGAATCCGGAGAAAAAAACCCTCGAATCAAGGGGGACCTAACAAACTCTACTCACATGCGATGCATGATTATCCAGGAATCAAATTACCCAACATCACTCTTGATTCCCAAAGATAGTCTTCTATTAAGAGAAAATGAACTAAGTATGAACTAGTATTCATGCTTTTAACCATCATAGGCACCGTTTGATGCTATATATAGAATCTTCAGCCCTCTACGCTGAAGAAAAAAACATGAGCAAACAGGGTAGAGCTTGCGCAGTATGCGCGTGCATAAAAACAAACGATCAAATAAATGATTCTAAAAATAGCATCAAAGATTCTAAAAATAGTATCAAAGTGTGCACATGATGAGGCGCGGGGATTTCTTCTCTTAGTTCATATTCTCTTGCTTTTATACTATAATTGTAAACCAGTCGATTTGATTTGATTTTGTTATCTTTCTTAGTGTCTGAGCATAGGAAACACGCTCAACAGACAGAAAAAGATATGTGAGCTTGGACTCATCATTGGAATCATTCTTGGGCGTTGGCTCCTACCACGTGGAGACATCACACGTGACCAGCTCTCAGCTCTGTTGCTAGGATACGTAGGAACAGCCGCTGACATCTTGGAACTGTTCGAAGTGTTTGAAGAGGACAAGGTATTGCTAGTTCGCAAAAAAAAATTAAATTGAGAAAGAACTTAAGAGAGAATTCTTTTCGTATTCAAGCAGTGAGCGCCAAAAACTATTTTCTTGAAGAAAGGCTGTTGTACAAGGCTAAAATCTTGTTATTCAGAAACTTGTTTGGAAGTGGAGATGACCGATGAAAGTGGAATCAAAGTGTAAACCCAAAGCAAAAATTTGAATCGAAAATAAGGTTTAGGCCTTCATTTGCTTATTTCCCATATATTTTCTATAAAAAAGCCTGACAAAGCAACATTCTAACACATGCAACAAAACATCTTTGTACAATTGAAAATACCGCTTCAAACAGGCATTTTATCATAGTACATCAGTTTCTAACTGTTTAAAAAAGGTTTTGAGTGTTAACCCAAAACGAAAATTGGGGTCAAACCTCATACGAAAGTCTAGTTTTTGGCGCTTTTTCCCATTATTGTTCATTACTTTTAAAAAATTCCTCTTAATTCCCAAGAGAGTTAAAACTGGCGGCCATGTTGGTGGTGTTTGTGAAATGTTCATCAATAGGATAGCACTTAGAATACAATATATTTTCTGAATACATTACATCAACTGAGTCTATCTAGGTTCTCCCTTGGTCATAAACAGCACCTTCACTGGGCTGCCTGTGGTTCGTTGTTAAAGTATATCAACTCGATTGTATTTCATTGGATATTTTGTAGGTGGTTGGAAGAGGGGATATCACGTTTGCTGTGCTTGGTGTCTATTCCTGGAGTCTTTTGCAGTTTACACTCGTTACCACGGCAACAACGGGTAAAGACAATCAAATTAGGATCACTGCAAACAAGGTAACAGAAATAATAATGATGCTGATGACGATCTTAATGATGATGATGATTATGACGATTATCATAGTCATTAGCATCATCATTATTTAGTATCATCATCATCAACAACATCATTACCATCACCGCCGCTGCCACCATTGTCATCAGCATCATCATTACCAACAACATCAATAAATGAATATCCAATCATCATTATCAATAACAGCAACGACATCATCGCATCAGCCTCATTATTCTACGAACGAACGTTCCCTTATAACAGGTTTTCAGTTTGACCCCAATATGAGCTGCCTCACTGCTGTACTTGCGGCACTAGCGTGACGGAGGGAGCCCGACCCCCCAAAAATTTGCTTTCGGCGCCAAACAAAACTTTATTGATTCATGCGGGATTCCTTTGGATTTGGCGGGAAAATGGTACATCCCCCCCCCCCCCCCCAATAATCGAGACCTCGATACCCCCTGACTTGCAGTGGTGCGTGATTAGCAATAACAAGTTTTCTATCGTAGAAAAGCTAAAGTAGAACCGTTATGTGGTTATAGGTCGATACAGAACCCTCGGCAGAGGAAGTCTTCAACAGAAAGATCAGCTCCCACAACAAGTACGGTAACCCTACGAAATACGGTAATACAGTTATAAATGCCAGTGATGATGAACTCAAAGAAAAATACATCCAGCGTCTCCGAATGAAGAGACGACAAACGGAAAAGGATCTGAATAATCGCGGGAAGGGATTTAAGGGAGTTCGGGAACGTAAAGTAAATCCTATCACAACCGCACGAGGCGAAGTGAAAGAGATATCTAGGCGAGAGATGTTACTTCATGGCGATATCTTTGGTATTCTAGCTGGGATACTGATGCAAGATGGACCTTTTCTTGTTCTCAGACTGGTATTGATAATCAAATTTAGCGTCATAAGCGAGATGCATATATTTTTTACATGTAAAAATGCTATCGCGCTGAGCCTATTGATGTACAGGCTATGTATCTTGACCTGTAGTGGTGAGGATGAGGTTTACGATGAACATCGTGAGAACGAATGGCGTTTACAGAACGTTCAACAGGCAGTCTACAGCGACCAGTTTAAGGCTTCAGGAGCAATTCAGCTAGCAGGTTGACACACGTAAAATATGGTCGGAAAGGGTCTAAATTTGTACTTACAAGAGTATTAATTCAACATGACTATACCAAATAGACCAGTTTCGAATTCCAAATTACCGCTGTGTTCCTTGATTACAGACTCATTTGCACAGGGTTGGCCTCATATCACAATATTCACAAATACCAACGGTAAAGTAAAGAATGCACAACTTCAACAATACAAACATTTTGAAACTCGACGGACCTTGACTGGAACACGTGAATATTCTGCACAAACTCGAGGCTAACCCTGTGTAAATGTGTCTGTAATTAATCAAGAAACACAGCGGTATATTTGGAATTCGAAACTGGTCTATTGAAAAAAATGAGCATCATGAGAACGGTTTAAACTTACGACGAACATCGTGAAAAAATGGCGACTACAGAACGTTCAACAGGCGTTCTATAGCGACCAGTTCAAAGTTTCAGGAGCAATTAAACTTGCAGGTTGACATGACATTTATACGACGAAAAATGTTAAATTTGTACGTAAACGCTATCCAACGTAACTATGCCAATTTTTGAAGAACTCGTCAAGTTTTTAAAAGATTAAACTTTATGTATTTACGTAAGATGCGATTATTTTTACGATGGAAAGATGTAAATTTGTACATCTATACAAAGGTATCCATCGCAACGACACTAAATTGAAAAAAAAAGTGTTGCGAAAAGGTTACATGTTTGAAGGCAAGACCCTAGGGTGTTCTGGGTAAACTGTTAATGTGGCTAATATTTTGCATATTCACGCGGCAGCCATGTTGGATTGAACAATATATTCCTTCACACGTAGCCTCAAATTCAAGCGCTTGAGAATTAATTTATGCTGGGGAGACAAAGGTTTTTTTCTCATGAGAATAAACAGGGCCGCCGTGTGATATAGGCCCATTGATTTCAAGTTACCGAAAATTAACAAAGCACTTTGCCAACACTCTCCATGCCAGAATTATCATCTTTAGCATATAGCAACTTGTGTACTTCCTAAGAACGCGCGCGCTCATTGGTTAATTGGAGGTGAATATTGTACGATATTCACCTCTGAATCTCGGAATATTGAGTCGGCAACAAAAATGGCATCTGCCGGCAATCGTCTTGATACAATTTCCGATGAGGAAATTGAAAAAATGAAAGGAAATGCCATTCCTATCAATATCAAAAAGGCAACGAAGTATGGCCTAAACGTTTTGCTAAAAGTTTTGCGTGAATTTGTCACGGAAACTAAAAGTTTCTGTTTGTTTTTATTGAATTATTGTATACACTTATTTCAATAAAGTTAGTCACCTGAAAAGCTACAAAGCTAAGACCGGCAAGGATTATGGGGTAGATACATTTTACATGTTTCAACCGCTTGATAACTGTTGATGGACTTGAGATCTTCTACGAGTTACAAGTTAACCTCCTCTGAGCATCCTCAACTGCTGCAGTTTGTGTCAAGAGCTTTACTTGTTGGATATAAAACATTTCCCCATGATTCTCAGGGATCACAGCTTTCTAGATTTTTGGGACTAACTTTATTGAAATAAGTGTATAAAAATAAGTTACTCTGTACACAAGTTGATATATGCTAAAACAATTGTGTCCTCAATACGTAACCTATCTAAATCTCTGTCTTCTTTATTTTGAATGACACGCATTTTTTTAACAAGTATATACTAGCTAGCATGCATGTGACTGGCGAATGTGACATCCGTCCGGAAAAAAGACAAAAACTAGACGGATCGCAGAGCTAGGTCCTAGCCTCTCTCGACTTGAGTTCAAGCAATACTCTGGACATCATCTAACCAGAAAACCCCTCGGTCTTAGCTACGATAATTCAACTTATTATATAGATGTCGATGAAATACCAGGTTTTCTCTAGTGTCGAAAACTTGATATCTTTCACCAGTGGAAGATACCATATCTTTCACACGTGAAGATATCGCTGTTGACATAGTAACGTATTTTAATAAAGAATTTTTGAGCTTTTGTTTTATTTAAGTTTCATCGATATCTATATAATACACAGAACATTACATGGCCGCTTGGAGATACGAATTTTATCTTCTCGTGTTCAATTTAGATCTTTTGCTGCGCTCACTCGTGAGATATCAATTGAACACTCGAAGATAAAATTCGTATCTCCGCGCGCCCATGAAATATCCTCTATCTTTTCAACCCGATAAGTTTTTTCAATTCGGTGTAGACTCGGCGATAACAGTTCACGAGGATGGTACGACGTAAATCACAAACATCATGGAAGTGAGTTTGACGTTATCATAAAATGCTTGCCATCCTGCTATTAATCTTTATAACAAACACACGTCCCCAGTAACAATCCCAGCAGTCTTTGCAAGGCGATACTCGACCCATTCCCCCATTTTACTTTTGGAGAGGCCGATCTCAAGCAATTTTTTTTTTTTTTTTTGTTCTGTTTGGATTATCCACATCATAGCCGTAATCAAGTGGGGTGCATTGCGTGCACGTGCACCCATCCCCCTCCACCCCGCACGCAAAAGCTAAAAGTCCGCTGATTCGTTCGTATTTTTTCCTCATTTTTATACCATCTGCAATTTGTAGCAATTTTTATCGCTCACTCATTATTGGATTGTTGGATATTTAAATCTATTTCTAGTAGCAACGTCCTGTATCAGGACCCATTTTATTTAATTTAATTCTTATGACAGGCAGTCTAGTTATTTATTGAAGAAATAGAAAACGCGCGCGCGTGCTCTGTGCAGTTATAAAGCACGCGGGGATTATAATTTAAATCTTTGAAAAGAGGACTGGAATGAGCATCAAAGTTAGAAAATGTCATGATGCGCAGTGCTCTTTTCTGTAAACTAGTAATGTTTTTTAAAGAGGTTGGATAGGTATTTCCACAAAGGATCAAACCATATGTTAAGAAAGGGTAAACTAATGAATAATATAGCGTAGTTAGAGTTTTTTAAGAAACATAATGCCTGATTTTTGATAGAATACCAATGTTTTTTTGAAATCGTATTTGAGATCACTTTAATATGATACTTCCAATTGAGATTGCTATCAATATACATACCAAGATATTTAACACAAGATTCATGCTTAAGAAATTTGTCATTGATAGTTAGTTTGATCGGGAATATCTTCTTTTGCGGTGGATGAAATATTATAAAATTTGATTTTGGAATATCTAAAGTTAATTTATTGGCAGTCATCCATTCATCAATTTTAACTAATTCCTCATTGATAAGATGTTCAAGAGTATAAAGATTTTTATGTCATATAAATAAGTTGGTTTCATCATCAAATAATTGAAAATGGAAGAGAGAAGAACAAGAAGTAACATCATTAATGTAAAGAAGAAGAAAAAGAGGACCTAGAATAGATCCTTGTGGGACACCAGAAATTACATACTCATATTCAGAATTAATACTGCCTAGTGAACATACTGTTTTCTGTTAGATAAGCAAGAAGAAAACCATTGATGAGGAATGCCTCTGACACCATATTTTTCAAGCTTATTAATTAGAATTTGATGATTGACAGAGTCAAAAGCTTTTTGTATATCCAGGAAGATACCACAAGAAAAGTTGCCGTCCTCAATACCTTTATAGATTTTATCAATTATTAAGAGAACAGCATGAGTTGTAGAGTGCTGAGCCCTTAAGCCAAATTGATAATCAGAAAAAGCTAGACGCTTGTTAAGAAATTTGAAAAGTCTATTATTAACCAGTCTTTCCAGGATTTACTTAGATTTGAAAGAAGTGATATAGGGCGACAATTGGATAAAGAAGTACGGGAGCCCTTCTTAACAATAGGAATTACACGTGCAATCTTTAAGGTTATCAGGAAACAGACCTGAAGAAAAAGACAAATTAAATAAGATAAGAGTTAGAAAATATAGAACTGTTGCTATCGAGTTATTCGCCATTTCTTCTTCCATGTGGGACATTTTGTATAGTTCAGACTGATTATTACAGCTTCGTTAAGTTATATGATTCTTAGCCTAATACCATTAAGAGGATTTGAATAAAAGTCAATTTGTGAAGCCAGCTGTCTATAGCAATAACTTGTAAATAATTTGGTGTTTAAATAAGGAAGCAGTTCCGCTTGGGTCGATAAGAAGAAGTTCTCTTATTCCAACGTATTTTATTTCATCTCATTTCATTTTATTTCATCTCATCTCATCTCATCTCATCTCATCTCATCTCATCTCATCTCATCTCGTTTCATTTCATTTCATTTCATTTTTTTTTTTTTTCATTTTTCATTGTAAAGTTAGTCGAAGTTAGTCTTAATACCTGACAATTCAAGTTTTGAGGTTATTTGCCATTACAGTGTTGCTTTTGTTTAGTTCATTAGATTAGCGTTTAGTTCTTCACTTATGTTCGATGACACTACGTAGTTCTTTGGTCGCTCGGTCGGTCGCTTTTGGTCATTGCTTTGTTAATCTTCCTAGTTCAGTTGATTGGTTAGATGGTTGCTTTGTTGGTTCGCTGTTCGGTCGATCGGTCGGTCGGTCGGTGTAGTAGGTACGATTGCAGCTTCATCTCTTTTTACATAACCATTTAACTCAATAATTTCCAAGTTTTCACATGCGTTGTTACTTTGCTCTTGTTCTGTTTGTAACACGCCCGTTTGAGTCCTCCTTATTTTGCATGCGCAACATAAAATGCTCCAAAACACCTGAACGAATCGAGAGCGAAATTCCCGAGATATTGTGCCATAAACGAAGGGATTACAACAGGAATGAAACAACAACATTTCGAGAGAAAACTTAAAAATCAAGCTTGACATATCGTAGCTTTCGAAAACGATCATGTCTATCCAAGCTATTTGATTCGGTAATGTAGAAATAGCGTACAAAAGTACGATAATAAGAGAGATTTTGATGACTTCCATGTCTCTCTTTCGCGTCATTTTGAGCTGGTTAATTCTGTCACTGTTTAAACTACACTTGGGAACTTTGTTTCGTTTTAAATACAAGATAATCTTGGTGTAAGAGATGGCGATAATAGTCAAAGGTATCATGTACTGCACAACGAATAAAGAGACTGTGTAGACCTTGTTTAATAGCTCYGATGRCCAGATTTCTTYACRCCYTCCWTGATWTTGTTCCMTTACTAWATAAACTGGAARGAGACAAATATTTGCCACAAGCCACAGTCCTGCCACAGTGCAATACGTTAACTTCATGGAGGGCTTGGTTTTGAAAGGATAAACAATGGATCGACATCGAAATATTGCAATGGTCGTCATGGTAAGCAAGCTTACCATTTGGGTACTGGAGAAAAATGGCCCTACAAGTTTGCAATACCATTTTGAAAGTGGTATGTTGACGTAATACATTATAAAGTATAGCAACACGGATAGGATGTCAGCTACACTGAGGTTAGCAATGAGGATCTCGAATGGTGTCTTTCGTCGTTCTCTGGTAGTGTAAATGACCACAAGGACCGTAAGGTTACCAATAACAGCAACGACAAAGATGGTTATGCCAATACCAAGTTTCATTCTCCATTCTAGGTCATTTGAATTCGAATAACTTTGATTAGAGTTAGAAACTATAGAACTGTTGCTATTGAACGAAGAATTCGAGTCATTCGCCATTTCTTCTTCCATGTGGGACATTTGGCACCAGTGTCTATAATTCAGACTGACTGCAATGTAATTATTACAGCTTCGTCAATTTATATGATTCTTAGCCTAATGCAATTATTAGTACCAGAGTCGGAGCCTGAATTAAGCTGTTACCACGAAAAAGCGGATTTGAATAAAAGTCAACTTGTGAAGCCAGCTGTCTATAGAAATAAGTAGTAATTAATTTGGTGTTTAAATAAGGAAGCAATAAGGAGTTCTCATATTCCAAAGTACAACTTTTCCTTGTATTTTCTTTTCATTTTTTATTGTAAAGTTAGTCGACTTGATCCCAAAAAATCTATATTTTTCGACTGGAAAATACCAGAGAAAAATTTGGAAAAGTTAATTGACTAAAGTTGCAAACATATATAGAGTGTGTGCAATGATGCTACTCAAAATCCCTTGAGATGTGAATAACAATGAAACGTTAACAGCCGCCATCTTGGTTGATCAAACGAGAGAAGCTAATGAGGAACGCTTTGTTATCGTCAACCAAGATGGCGGTAATGACGTAACATGCACCTGCTCTATAAATCCCTTATTAGCTATCTTAATTATACAGCTTCTCATTAATCCCATATAGGTAACTGTCCAATTAGTATAGGAAATCGCACGATCTCGAGTACAATT